AACTTTTCAGTTTTTTTCCATTTCACCTTGTACATGTCCTACTGAGCTGCTTCATCTTTTCCAGAGCTGTCTTGCAGAGCCTTTTTCCTTAATCTGCCTGCTCATGTGCTGGTTCACCTGCTTATGAAGTAGCTTTCTCTTTCTAGTGTTCCTTTGCTTCCTTGATTCTCTCCTGCTTTTTCTGTTACTAAGTTCTTCCAGTCCTGGAAATAGATGTAGGAAATGGAGGGAGGAAGCTATCACAGTAACAGTCACAAAGTGATGTGGAATATACGTGATAGTACAATGGCATGTACTGTGGGGTGTATCAAAGATTCTCCTAGAATTGATGATCTTCCAAAGCTTGGCAGGGTGCATTGAAGTTGGTGTGAACAATCAGTCTTTGGAGACTAAAAGTGGCAAATTATTAAGTGAGATAAGAGCACGAGTAGCTTTTTTTAGGTTAGAATTTCAGGTTCTTACAACATTTCAATGTATATATTTTTTTAAGGCTATGCAGAAAAAAGACATTGGCGATCCCACCTAGCCAGCCATCCAAAGTCCAGGGGGATGTTTTGATGGGCTCAGGGTTGTAGCTGCACCTTGGTGCTACCCTGAAACACCAGGTGCTGCCAGTTTGTTAATGAGTCACCCAACAGAGAAGAGATTAAGTACGTATTCATATTAAGAGTGTATTTCCTTGAGACAGTGAGAAGTAATCTCCGTGGTGGTGTTAAGTGAAGGAGTAGCTCTTGTGCTTCTGAGCTCTTCCTCTGTTCAAGAGGCTTCTGCTCCTCCTACTTCTTTCTGTCAGTTTTGTGTTTTATAAGCTATCCTGAGAATCTGTTCAAGATTGGGAACCAAGAGAAAATAATCTGTCACCTTCTAGTTCTCCCTCTGTTCCTTCCTCAGTTACTTGTCCTGTCTATCTCCACTTCCGATTCCTGCCTTTCCCTCCCACCCCAACCTGCGCTGCCCCGTGTTGAATTGTGTAGACTGTGGCCTCACAAGAGGGGGTATAAGTGAGAGATGGTGGGAGGAAAGAAGAGGTGTTGAGTCAGCTGGTTTTGGAGCTATGGTGTTAGTGAATTAGTGAACTGTTTTTATTGCTTTATGGTAGGTAAATTATTTGGTAACATCCAGCACAAAAGGAGCAAAAATCATGAAACTACTTAATGACTTTACTTATAAAACACATCTCTAGCACTTTGGGAGTCAGATATATTGTTAGTGAGGGGCTGACATCTGTCAACAGTAGAAATGTTAATTCTTCCTGAATAGTAAACTGATAGTTATGGCTTAGGTCCAAGCTTCTCCCTTAGCCCCCTCAAAGTTGTTTTCCCCCCTCAGTTGTTATTCAAAATAACATTCTTAATCTTGGAAACAGATTGAGATTGGTATCAGTGCAAATCTGTAAGTGCAAACCCTGTTCTAATGTTTTTGAATGAATGCAAGGTATTGAATGTCTTCCGGGGTGCTTTGCATGGTTGTGGAAGGTTATTTTAGATAGAAAAGTCTAGACAGTGCTTAGGATCTATTGCACATATCCATACCTGCCAAAATTTGGGAGGGAGTTTTGTTACAGTTATGCTGCAATTCCTCAGAAGGGTTTTCACAATAAAAATAACACTATTGTGTCTCTCCCTCAGCCTTCCTCTCCCCAAAATCACTGCTACTTCTTTTTTGGTAAAATTTGGGTAATATTCTGTAATTGCTGTTTCTATTTCCATCTTCCCTCAATCTCTAAAAATTATGTAATTAGAAACGATATTATCTATCATGCATGGTTTTGATGTATGTGCAAGCAATAATATGAAGATTTCTTGCATGCAGTTGATAGCTTTTTAAACATACTTTGAACATAAAATGAACAGATTAGACTTTAGAAGGTGTCTTTGGGTAAAGGAGATAAATATACATATATTTTCCAATGTCTGTCTTGATTGTTTTTTTTAAATAGAGAAAACTATATTTTTGCTTGAACTTAGTAATACACTGTTGAAAATTATATATGTAAGAAAGTGTCTTTCTGAGTAATATCGGCTGCTTTTTATTGTTTTTAATTCATCTGAGTTTCTAAAAAATATCTAGACTTTGCTAATGGGCAATATTATGTCTATGTGAATCTCTGAAGTTTACAGAGAAAATACATGGAAAGAAATTAGATGCTTGGAGAAAGGAAAAAATGAGCAGTCTATTTTGATTACCAATGGTATTTGAATTCTGAGTTTTTAAACTTTATTTAAATAATATTATTTTTTTTTTTAACAGATTAAGTCTTTTTTCCCTCCCTTCTCCTTCCCCTCTTGGAGAAATAGAATTTTTTTGTTTGCATATGATGTTTAAACATTTCATTCATATGACATAAAATTAAACAATAGGCTGTAAATGTGGTTGCAATATCAATTAAAATGTTTTAGATTTTTCCATACGTTTCTTAGTAAAAATAATAACACTAATGCTTAGTTTATCTTAAACAATTAGTGAATGCTTGCTATGAGAGTGTGGGTCTCTCTTAACTTCCTGCTTTGCATAGTTTTGGTTACTTAATCTGAGATACGTTTCTAGCTGTTCCTCTGTGTTGACTGTTTTGAATTAACGAGTGTAAGTTTTTTTGGTAATATTTTAATTTACAAAATTTACTCTTATCTTGTGATGATAGAAGTACTGTTTTTAAGGACTGTTATTAAAAATACTTGAGAGGTAGCTGTTCAAGTTGTAATAGACCTTCAAGAAAAAGCATGGGCAAGCTGAAAGTTGTGGTTGTATTTCTTGGGCGGATATATATATACACACATTTGTGACTCTCATATCTTAGCACAGAATGAGGACTTAGAATGTTGAGTCAACACACAGAAAGGAAAGTAGGCAAAAATAATACCGTGTCCAAGAAACTTAAAAAATAAAAACTTTGTGGCATGCTCAGTAAAGTGGTTTTATTTTAGGAGTTTGTACAATCTGTAGTGGAAAGTATGGGCTTGCAGTGGCAAATGATGGGAAACAGTGGTCTGCAAGACAGCATTAAAAATTTGGAATGCCAAATATGTGCACTGTATGTCAGCCTCAGTTGAGAATTTGTTTTAAAAAAATAAATTGTTAAACAATGAGGGCCAGATCTTTTTATTATTTTTCCTGGGAAAAGAGTTTGTATAGCCTAAGGGAGAATTTGGTGCCTGTGGGAAAGAGAACACTGGGCTCAATTTTCAAAATTTATGTGCCCTTGCCAAGACAGATGGGAAGAAACAAGAGTGCACCCCAAACAACTGTAGCCCTGGGAGACTCTCTGCTCAGCTTGCACGCGTCTTTTCCCATTCATAATTATGCTTAAAAATCAAGCTGTGCTCACTAGTAGCTTCGCACGTGGAGGAGTTGAGCTTGTTCAGCCGGATTTTGATGTACTGCCATAATTAAGCTTGCCCGAGTCATGTAAAGGGGTGACTGCTAAGTGCCAGGGTGTCTGTCCTTATTAATTTCTGAGCAAGCATTGTAAAGACAAGTAATGTATGTTAAGTAACCTTGTGCCTATGAGAGTCCATAATGTACAGATCTACTGTGACCAGACACTGCAGGGCAGCAGTGTCTGCTCATGCTGCTGTTATGAAATGAATTTGTTTCGTGTGACTCGTAGAAACCCCCTTTGTGATTTGTCTCAAATGTTTTCTTGGCGGTGCTTGTTTTCCAAACTGCTGCTGTGGCTCCATGAGTGGAACTGAGTGCTGGTCTTCTGGCTCTTGTTTCCTTGTAGTTCAGGATGCTGCTCATGTTTCTCATCTGCAGTATTCTACATCCTGTCCATCTCAATGGCTTCCTTTTAAGCGAGCACAGTGGATAAACATCCTTTATACAGCTAAAGTTCAATTATATACAAGTGAATGGTCAAATAATGTAGCTGTTGTGGATGCTACCAAGTCGATGTCAAATTTGTAATCTGAATTTTTTTTCCTGTCAGCTGTTTTCAGTGAACCTGATGTATTTCTACAAAACAGAGCTAATTGCATTGTACCTTTTGCTCTAGCTAGTATGTTAAGAGCATTAAGGGCACTGCATCATCTTTAAAATAACACCATCCAGTTGTTTTTCCCAGCTTTTTGCTGTGCACAGGATCTTTAAGAACAGAGGAAATGAGCAGAATACACAAGGAAAGAGGCTTAACACGTTAACACATGAAGTTTAGTTATATAAAACAAAGTGAAAATCAGAAATCCTTTCTCTGAAATCTCTGGGGAAAATATACTGTAGAGAACAGGGTTATAGAATCACAATTTAAAGTGAGGATTTTGGGGATATTCGTGACAAAATACTCTAGACTGTTTTAAAAATAATTAATAGATACAAAAGTGAATTAGATTCTTATTGGTGTGTGCCATTAATCCTTAGTAAGGGGAAGGAATGGCTGATTCAGGAAGCTGCAGGGTCTCATAAATCAAGGGAATAATGAGACTTGAGCCAAATGTAATTTTGATTGCTTTGCCTTTGACTGTTGCATTTTCTTCTCATCATTCATTCAGCCCTTTAGATGTAAGTGGATGGAGAACCATGGGTTTTTGGGCTTTTGTTTGCTTGTTTAACTAGACTTTAGGCAAGATCTTCATTCTTGCCTTGCCTTGTAATAATATTTTTTTGTTGTTGCTTTGGTTACCCTTCAGAGTTTTGGGTTACCCTCACAGCTGAGTCTATCCATGCTCCCTGATAGATTTGACTATGCAGACACCTAAGTGACATTCTCACCCTGCTGAGCTTGATCCACAAGGGGCAGGTGGCTTGTGCATTGACTTAGGTGACCCAAAACTCCAGAAAGCCTGTGTATTCTATTTCTGTGTCCCTAAGATATAACTTCTAGTCTTCAATCTTACTGGAAGTTTCTTTCATAATTTGACACCACATTGTATAAACTTGCCTTTTGTGTCTTTCACAGGTTTTTTTGTTTTTCTTTTTGTAATATTTTTTTTTTAATTGCTGGAAGAAGAAGAAAAGATAAATTTGTAATCACATCCCTTTCTCTCTCTTTTTTGCTTCGATAGGCTTGGATGATTGCTTGCAGCAGTATGTCCATAAATTTGAACGAGAGAAGATAAATGGTGAACAGCTGTTACAGATTTCTCACCAGGACCTTGAAGAGTTGGGTATCTCACGGATTGGACACCAAGAACTGGTTCTAGAGGCTGTGGATCTCCTGTGTGCACTGGTTAGTTAAGTTGTGAATAGACAGGCAAATGACTTCTTAACATGCTTTTTTGGGTGAATATCTAAGGCAAGCCAGAAAAATCTGTGACTTGCTTTCTGTTACACATCATGGTAAAAGACAATAGAATTTGTTTAATTCTTGAAAGTTTTGTGTTAAATAGCTGTAACTTTTTCCTGATATGAGGCAATGTTAATTCATTTGATTGGCTTTCTAAAGAAAGAAGTTGTCTGCATGGCATTGTTAGGTCTTGTGGCTCCTGTTAGTGAACAGAGTGATTAAAATTGCTATCGAGTAGTATGAATTTATCATGGAAGATAGAACACATCCTGTTGAAATCACAGCTGCTAATAGTTCCTCACATCAGTTGAAACATGTTTAGGGCAATCCTGTAGTCTACAAAGAGAAGAAAAATGTTCTTGAAATGAGGGATGTTTTGCTAACTCAGCTAAATTTGAGTTCAACTCTCATTGGATTCAGAACATAAGCTGTTTGTCTGTCTTACTCTTTATACATAACTATGCAGATACTTTTATAAGAAACACACTGAAAAGAAGAAATGTATTTTGGATTGTTTTGCTAGTGCAGGCTTTATTTAAAAGCTTTTGAAGACATGCTTGTAATGCAGCAAATGAGCACCAGAGGTATATGAGATTACATCAGGGGAAAGGCTGTCTCATGATGCTTTGGCCGACACTGGCCCACCTTCCCTTCTTAAAATGTAGAGGCTCTATTGCTTACATGATACACGCGTTATTTGCTGCAGAGAGGTACTACAGGGATCTCGCTTATAATCTATAACCAGGAAAAATTGGATAGACCAGACCCTGCTGAAGGAAGTGTATTTAATGAAATAACTTCATACAATCTGAAATGTTTCCCAGAGAGTTACTCTTTTATTTGAAAAATGTTTTATTTTCTCATTGGTATTCGATCTATCAAAAGTTTTTACCAAATAACTTGAAAAATCGAATAGAAGAATGGAAATTAGCCTGAAATGTTATACGATGAGGGAAGGGATCATCCGTCAGGCAAGTAAAGAGGTCTGGTGAGTTAGTAAGTGTACTGTGTACTGTATACAGTGCTGTCTGAAGTAATGGATGTGGCAGCCCCCAAAGGCACTTTCTTCCTACTTTTAAAAATATTAGAATAAAACGAACAAAGCTGGATGACCGCCAGAACCAAAAGCTGTGTTTTATCTCCTACGATTTCCTTCTAATTTCCTTTGTAGACAAAAGTTTTGACCTCAGACTCATTTCTGGAAATCCTTTGTGAAAGGCAGATCGAGTTAATGCGTTAGAGTTCAAATATTGCAGCTGAAATATCCTTGTTCCCTTTTAAGAGGTGGAGGAAGAATTCCTGTGTTTTTAGGTATGCCCTTTGTCACCTTCTTGATGCCCCTTTCCTTGAGTTTTTGGGATTGTTGCATAAAATCACCATTGAGTTTTGTCCTTGAGGGAATGGTGTGCTTTAAGTTGCAGTGACAGCCAGATTTTTATTTTGTTCTCTTTTTTTGTGTGAGAATATGAAGGGTTCTCTATTCCACCTGTATTAGTTCTTTGAAAGTGGTTCTGCTTGCAGATATAATCTAGTGGATGCGTTTTGTGTGTGCATATATATATGGTGACATTTCCCAAATGGTTGGGGCCTTGAAGTAAAAAGCAAAATAACTATTTCAGGGATTGTTGTTTTCCCCACCTCCCCAACCCCAAATACCTTTAGCTCAGGCTGTGGTAATGTGGTATTGGCTGGGCCAGCCTGAGGTCAGGCTTTGAAAGCTGTAGCTGTTGGGGATGGGAAATGGCTGACAGGGGGATTTGATGGTTCTCAAGTAGAATTCCCCCTAGCCCTGCCCCGCCTTGTGGTGTGTTTGTGTGGGGTTTTTTTGGTGGTTTTTTTTTTCCTTCTAGTTTGATCTCTGCAGTTTTCTATCTGAGCTTCCTTCAGTTGTGTGCTTTGTGCTTTGATTCCCTCACTGCAGAATGCTTGCAGCTCTAAAGGCAGCAGAGCAGCTGCCTTTGGACCATCTTTCTCTGATATACTTTTCAAGCATTGACTGTACAGATCTTTTTCTCCAGCCTCAGTGGATCAGTTGTTAAAAATCAGTGTGAAGGTAGTCCTGTCTTTGAGAAAGGACACAAAATACACCTTTCCCCACCCCCACTTTTCAGATTTTATGGGGATAGGGCTCTTTTTGGTAGCTATATTGACAAACTGAAAATATGTCTGCATCTATGGCATTCACTACCACAGAAATCAAACTCCAGAATCAGTATAGCTGAAAGAGAAATGCGTACATCTCTCTCTGCTCCTTTGGTGATGAAGAAGTGTTTCCTCATCTCCTCATAGCAGTGGCTGCATGTGCAACACCTGCAGCTGAAGGGGCAGCAGGAGAGAGTGTGGACAAGGATAAAAAGTGAAGATTTCTTGTGAGCAAATATTTCCATTGCTCTTCAGCTGGTCTAAAAACTTTTCTGAACAGGTATTGGAGCCATCAAAGAAACTGAACTCCCCAGTGGGGGGGCAAAAACCCATCAACTTCAGTGCCTCCATCTTTTTGTCAATGAAAATATTTGCTTGGGGGAGAAAAGGGATAAAAAGAAGACATTTCTTAGTTGACTGAAATATTTGGGGGAGGAAGGAACAAACATATGTAGATAGGCTTTTTCAACTCTTGCAAAACCACAAAAGCAGGGGCAAGGATCCAGAAAATAAGTTTTCTCAGCCGAATAATTGGGATGAAAAGCATCTAGAGTGGTAGTGAAAACTGAATGCTTATTCAATATTCCTTGATGAGTAGACTTGCCTGTTTGGGCTTAATAAATATAGAACAGTGCAAGCATTAACAGGAAACTGTATGTAAATATTTTGACTTTTGATATGTTTTTTGGATTAGATTTTTTATTTTTTACCTATACTGTATGATGGAAGAAGCAAAAACCAGCTGATTTTTCTTGAGGTTAAAACAAGGAAATTATATTTTTAAGCAATCTAAAAAAACCCAAGAAACCAACCAACCAACAAACCACAAAACAAAAATAACATAGTTTTTAGTTTTATGCTACCAGTGAAATTGTTAAAAGCAATGTTCTGCCAGCATAGTTGCAGTGCAACTTTATATTATAAAATAGAACGTGCACACATGAGGACTTATCCTTTGTGGCTAATTTTTATAGTAAGTTTTCAGTTTTCTAGAAGTCTTAAATTCAGTCATATTATGAAATGTGAGACCCCAAGGGACTCTTTACGGTGCATTTTTGTTAAAAGGGGGAGAGCAAGAATGGGTGACTGTGACAGCACCTTGTGCCGAATGAGGTTGCAAAGCAGCTTTCTATCATATTTGAGAAGCTGTGGCAGTCTGGTAAAGTTCCCACTACCTGGAAAAGAGGCAACATAACACCCATGTTCAAATAGGAAAAAAGGAAGACCCAGAGAGCGACAGGTCAGTGAGTCTCACCTCTGCCCAGCAAGATCATGAAGTAGGTCCTTCTGAAGGCTCTACTAAGGCACATGGAAATGGTGGAGGTGGTTGGTGGCAATCAGTATGGCTTCATCAAGGACAAATCGTGCCTGACAATTTTGGCAGCTTTTTATAATGGAGGGTCACAACATCGGTTGTCAAGGGGAGAGCAGCTGATGTAATTTACCTAGATTTGTACAGAGTGTTCAACACTGTCCTGCCATGATATCCTGGTCTCTAAATGGGAAAGATAAGGATTTGATGGGTGTACCATTCGGCAGATAAGAAATTGGCTGGCTGGTGAGCAGTGGACAACGATTTGATGTCCAAATGGAGACCAGTGACAAGTGCTGTGTCTCAAGGGTCAGTACTGGGATTGATGCTGTTTAACATCTTTGTCAGGATATGGACAGTGGAATTGAGTGCACCCTCAAAGTTTGCTGGTGACACCAAGCTGTGTGGTGTGGTCAACATGCTGGAGAGAAGGGATGCCATCCAGAAGGACCTTGACAGTCTTGAGTGGTGGGCCCACACTGAAAGTTCAATAAGGCCAAGAGCAAGGTCCTTCACCTGGGCTGGGGCAATCCCAAGCATAATTACAGCTTGGGTGGAGAATGGATTCAGAACAGCCTTGAGGAAAAAGACTAGGGGGTGGTGGTGGATGAGAAGCTCAACATGAGCTGGCAGTGTGCACCTGTAGCCCAGAAAGCTAACCAGGTCCTGGGCTGCCTCAAAAGAATCTTGGCCAGCAGGTCAAGGGAGGTGATTCACCCCCTCTACTCCACTCTCATGAGACCCTTTCTGGAGTACTGTGTCCAGTTCTGGAGTCCCCAGCATAGGAAGAACATGGAGCTGTTGGAGTTCAGATGAAGGCCACAGAAGTGATCAGAGGGCTGGAGCACCTCTCCTATGAAGACAGGCTGAGAGAGTTGGGATTGTTAAACCTGGAGAAGGCTCCATGGGAGCTTTATAGCAGCCTTCTATTACCTGAAGGGGTCTACAAGAAGGTTGGAGAGGGACTTTTTACAGTAGTAGTGATAGGAGAAGGGGGGGGAACAGTTTCAAACTGGAAGAGGGTGGATTTGTGTTAGATATTAGGAAGAAATTCTTCACTGTGAGGGCGGTGAGGCACTGGGGAATGTTGCTTCCCTGGAAGTGTTCAAGGTCAGATTGAACAGGACAGGACTTAGAGCACCCTGATCTGGTGTGAGGTGTCCCTGTCCATGGCAGGTGAATTGGACGTGGATGATCTTTAAGGTCCCATCCAACTCAAACCATTCTATGTTTCTATGAACTCTAGTGTTTATATAAGCATGCAGTGAGTTGAATCTGCTTTTGAGCAGGCATTCGATCTTTTTATTTTATTTTATTTTATTTTTTATTTTTCCCTGGAGCTGATTTCCAGTTGGATCAGCCAGCAGATCCAGCTCATTACACTACAGCACATGAGTGTGGCTGTGAAGGGGAAGGCAATGCTGCCTCTGGACAATAGCAGAGCTCTGGATCAGCCCAAGTCAGTTCTGACACGACTGCTGCGCTCTTTTGACTCAGTTTAGCCACGCTTTTTTTTTTTAATTACGATTTTAAATGTTGGCTGCCTGACCTTGAGCCATTATTTGGTCAGTGTACTTTTTCTCATTAAGTGCAATGGAGTTTG